CCAGGGTGTCTCCTTAGGACAGTTCCGTGGACGAGACAGCCTCGCCGTTCCAGTTTACAGTATAAGTGAGTCCATTTGGAGTTGTGTCCCCGTACTAATTTGGTTTGTGTTTCTCTTTATAGAACCCCAAACCAAATTCTTTTTGGTGGGGAGGTGTTACGGACCCGGATCCAGCGTCCGAGCACGGAGCAGTGACGACCACGCCATCTGTGGGTCAGCTCCCGAAACCCCCTCCAAACGGACGACGACACCTGGTGAGGACGACGTGTACTGGCTACGAGGGCCAGTTTCCAGTCCTGTTCAGCGCTCAACACAGCCACTGCTGACCTCTGGTGAGGTGGTGCTCGGCCGACAACGCCATCTAGGGAGTGGATACGTCGGGCGTTTGGGTCTGAGCCTGTAAGTGAGGTGCTTTAGTGTGTCCCTGTTATTGATGACGTGTCTGCTTACAGAGTCGACCGGGGACTGCTGTAAGGGAAGTTGAGTCAGTCTACCCAAGGCAGCCGTCCCCATACCTTGTGCTTTGCTGCAGCAGCTGTGAGTCGTCTCCCGGAGGAACACTGTGGTGTTACCCTGCCTGTGAAGCGGCAGTGAAGGATTGTCATTCCCGGGACCGACTGCTGGAGACGATTAACCACTGGGGTATTGTAGACAGGAGAGTGATCTGTGGTATCACACGAGGCTCCTGACTAGGGCGCTACCCTAGTATCGCTCGTGGAGTGGCCTGACCAGCGTTGCTGATCCGGAACCTGCCAGCTGTGTTGCTGGACTTGTGGTTGACGGCCTCCACGGCGGTGCCCCCAGTGGAACTGTGTTTTGGCTGGCCTGTGGCCGGGGTAGACTCAGCTTCTCAAAGGATTTGTTGTGAGGCCACGAAAGCACCGAGAGCTTGGATCCAGAGTCTTCAGGAGAAGACGTTTGTGCAAATAATTCCCCTGTACAGTGTTAATACCCCTCCCCCCGTGTAATCTTTTTATATATTATTTATTGGTGATGGAAATAATTATAGTATTAAGTTCTTGACTTTATTTCCCTTCCCCTTTAAGTTACTTGCGTCACGGATCGCATCCCTTGAAAGCCACTACTGGCTTGGGGCTGGATACCCTTCCCTCTAACAACATCAGAGTACGAACCCAGTTGCGACCCGAGAGGGCCGTAACAGGGAGTAGCCATATATGTTAGGGACAATTTGAAATGTAGTCTCAAAGAGGGAATTAAAACTGAGCCACACACAGAAACTATTTGGATAGAATTAAACGAAAAAGCAAATAATATTATAATAGGACACAATATATATATAGGCCACCAAATTTAGACAGAATGGAAGCAAAGCATCTATGGGATGAAATATCTAGAGCATCTAGATCTAACAGTATTTATGTCATGGGTGACTTTAATTTTAGTGGAATAAACTGGGTGAACAAAACAGGGAATAGTGAAGCAGAAGATTTTCTAGAATTAATTGACGATTGCTTTCTTACGCAACACATTAAGGAACCAACGCGGGAAAATAATATTTTAGATTTAGTGTTAACTAACAGGGAAACAAATTATAATATTAATAATAATAATAATAATTTTATTTAGGTAAGGTACATACATAAAGAGATTTTACAAAGTTTGTTGGCTTTATAGATAGAGCTAGTACATACAATGCCTAAAGCCACTATTACGCAAGGCGTTTCGGGCAGAAACTTCTTTTAAAGAAAAATTAACTTCAGAAAACTTCATCATCAGAAAATTAACTTCAACTGGAGTGTCAGGTCGACCAAACTGACTCACAATGACATGTGTTTTACCTTCCAGACCACTGATAGCATCAGGAAAATGTGAACGCGGCCTTGTGAGGCTGCGTCGAGTCCCAGATGGCTTTCAGAACATTTTAGTAGTCTCTCAATGCCTGGTAATTGTAGTTCAACATCTGAGGTTGTATTCAACACTATAATTTTCTTATATTTCTTTACCACTATTTACAGTATCCTTAGTTGGTGCTGGAGGAGGTAGGTAAACACAGAGGAGGGTAGAAATAGCCTAAGCAACTCTAGCCCTTTGAGATGTATTTTATTGTCTCAATAAACGTACTTGAACTTGATCAACACAGAAGATAAACTGTGGCTGTAGCACAGTGTTAGGACACCTCTCCTGGCTCGGAACTCTCACAACTCACAAAGATAAACACTATACAATAAAGGTCTAAACACACCTCATTGTTTCCCAACATTATGAGTGAGAAACGTCGACCTGACATTACACATTTACCACCCAATTTGCGTACTTGATATACATTGAGAATCTAGCGATTACAGGACAATTTTGTGCTCAGCAAGTGTAAGGTCTGGCGTGTTCAACTGTGCCAAGGGCTTGGGTAGCATCAGAGAGCTGCCCTGAGGGTCCTAGTGCTGCAGAGTTACCCTCACAAGGACACTACACAGCCTGTCCTCCTAAGGTAACCAGCCCGTCCTCCTAAGGTAACCAGGCCGTACTCCTAAGGTAACCAGCCCGTCCTCCTAAGGTAACCAGCCCGTCCTCCTAAGGTAACCAGGCCGTCCTCCTAAGGTAACCAGGCCGTCCTCCTAAGGTAACCAGCCCGTCCTCCGAAGGTAACCAGGCCGTCCTCCTAAGGTAACCAGGCCGTCCTCCTAAGGTAACCAGGCCGTCCTCCTAAGGTAACCAGCCCGTCCTCCTAAGGTAACCAGGCCGTCCTCCTAAGGTAACCAGCCCGTCCTCCGAAGGTAACCAGGCCGTCCTCCTAAGGTAACCAGCCCGTCCTCCGAAGGTAACCAGGCCGTCCTCCTAAGGTAACCAGCCCGTCCTCCTAAGGTAACCAGCCCGTGCTCCTAAGGTAACCAGGCCGTCCTCCTAAGGTAACCAGGCCGTCCTCCTAAGGTAACCAGCCCGTCCTCCTAAGGTAACCAGCCCGTCCTCCTAAGGTAACCAGCCCGTCCTCCTAAGGTAACCAGCCCGTGCTCCTAAGGTAACCAGGTAACCAGCCCGTCCTCCTAAGGTAACCAGCCCGTCCTCCTAAGGTAACCAGCCCGTCCTCCTAAGGTAACCAGCCCGTCCTCCTAAGGTAACCAGCCCGTCCTCCTAAGGTAACCCCGTCCTCCTAAGGTAACCAGCCCGTCCTCCTAAGGTAACCAGCCCGTCCTCCTAAGGTAACCAGCCCGTCCTCCTAAGGTAACCAGGCCGTCCTCCTAAGGTAACCAGCCCGTCCTCCTAAGGTAACCAGGCCGTCCTCCTAAGGTAACCAGCCCGTCCTCCTAAGGTAACCGAAGGTAACCCCGTCCTCCTAAGGTAACCAGCCCGTCCTCCTAAGGTAACCAGGCCGTCCTCCTAAGGTAACCAGCCCGTCCTCCTAAGGTAACCAGCCCGTCCTCCTAAGGTAACCAGGCCGTCCTCCTAAGGTAACCAGCCCGTCCTCCGAAGGTAACCAGCCCGTCCTCCGAAGGTAACCAGGCCGTCCTCCTAAGGTAAAGCCCGTCCTCCTAAGGTAACCCCGTCCTCCTAAGGTAACCAGCCCGTCCTCCGAAGGTAAAGGCCGTCCTCCTAAGGTAACCAGGCCGTCCTCCTAAGGTAACCAGCCCGTCCTCCTAAGGTAACCAGCCCGTCCTCCTAAGGTAACCAGCCCGTCCTCCGAAGGTAACCAGCCCGTCCTCCTAAGGTAACCAGCCCGTCCTCCTAAGGTAACCAGCCCGTCCTCCTAAGGTAACCAGCCCGTCCTCCTAAGGTAACCAGCCCGTCCTCCGAAGGTAACCAGCCCGTCCTCCTAAGGTAACCAGCCCGTCCTCCTAAGGTAACCAGCCCGTCCTCCTAAGGTAACCAGCCCGTCCTCCGAAGGTAACCAGCCCGTCCTCCGAAGGTAACCAGGCCGTCCTCCTAAGGTAACCAGCCCGTCCTCCGAAGGTAACCAGGCCGTCCTCCTAAGGTAACCAGCCCGTCCTCCGAAGGTAACCAGGCCGTCCTCCTAAGGTAACCAGGCCCGTCCTCCTAAGGTAACCAGCCCGTCCTCCTAAGGTAACCAGCCCGTCCTCCTAAGGTAACCAGCCCGTCCTCCTAAGGTAACCAGCCCGTGCTCCTAAGGTAACCAGCCCGTCCTCCGAAGGTAACCAGGCCGTCCTCCTAAGGTAACCAGGTAACCAGGCCGTCCTCCTAAGGTAACCAGCCCGTCCTCCGAAGGTAACCAGGCCGTCCTCCTAAGGTAACCAGCCCGTCCTCCTAAGGTAACCAGCCCGTCCTCCTAAGGTAACCAGCCCGTCCTCCTAAGGTAACCAGCCCGTCCTCCTAAGGTAACCAGCCCGTCCTCCTAAGGTAACCAGCCCGTCCTCCTAAGGTAACCAGCCCGTCCTAACCAGCCCGTCCTCCTAAGGTAACCAGCCCGTCCTCCTAACCAGCCCGTCCTCCTAGATTAACCAGCCCGTCCTCCTAAGGTAACCAGCCCGTCCTCCTAAGGTAACCAGCCCGTCCTCCTAAGGTAACCAGCCCGTCCTCCTAGGGTAACCAGCCCGTCCTCCTAAGGTAACCAGCCCGTCCTCCTAGGGTAACCAGCCCGTCCTCCTAAGGTAACCAGCCCGTCCTCCTAGGGTAACCAGCCCGTCCTCCTAAGGTAACCAGCCCGTCCTCCTAAGGTAACCAGCCCGTCCTCCTAGGGTAACCAGCCCGTCCTCCTAAGGTAACCAGCCCGTCCTCCTAGGGTAACCAGCCCGCCCTCCTAAGGTAACCAGCCCGTCCTCCTAGGGTAACCAGCCCGTCCTCCCAGGGAACCCAACGCAGAAAACGGGACAGGACGTCTCTCCCGCCAGCCGCTTCCATTTTCCAGTACGACAAGTTCTGACCTTACGTAACGCATACGTGCGAAAAGCGACGTTCTTTGTAAGAGGAGAGGTTGGTGTGTGAACGGGAACTTAGAGGTTTATAATGAGGTGGTAAGACAAACACAGTGGCATATAGAGTATTACAGAGGTGAGAGGCAGGAGTAAGGAAGGTAGAGGTGTTCAACTTACCACAAAGGTGCTGTGGACAGTGGGTGGATGGGAGGGTGAGGCAGGTGGCTGGCGCCGGCACGCATGCCTCCCCACGCCCACACCGCGCCCCTGCACACTCCTCCCACGCCCCACACTCCCCCGCACGCCATTGGCCCTCCTCCACGCCCGCACACCTGCGCCCACACCAAGGAGACATCTGACTTTATGGTGATATAATGTGATGATAACAAGACCTGGCTCAATACCCAGATGCCCGCCGGCTGCTGTTTACACTGTATAGTGGGGTGTAGTGTGTATAGTGGGGGTGTAGGGTGTATAGTGGGGTGTAGGGTGTATAGTGGGGTGTAGGGTGTATAGTGGGGTGTAGGGTGTATAGTGGGGTGTAGGGTGTATAGTGGGGTGTAGGGTGTATAGTGGGGTGTAGTGTGTATAGTGGGGTGTAGGGTGTATAGCACTCACTCAGCATGACACTCACCCAGCAAGACACTCACCCAGCAAGACACTCACCCAGCAAGACACTCACCCAGCAAGACACTCACCCAGCAAGACACTCACCCAGCAAGACAATCACCTAGCAAGACACTCACCAGCAAGACACTCACCCAGCAAGACACTCACCCAGCAAGACACTCACCCAGCAAGACACTCACCCAGCAAGACACTCACCCAGCAAGACACTCACCCAGCAAGACACTCACCCAGCAAGACACTCACCCAGCAAGACACTCACCCAGCAAGACACTCACCTAGCAAGACACTCACCCAGCAAGACACTCACCCAGCAAGACACTCACCTAGCAAGACACTCACCCAGCAAGACACTCACCCAGCAAGACACTCACCCAGCAAGACACTCACCTAGCAAGACACTCACCTAGCAAGACACTCCGAGGGGAAGGTGCGACCATTCCCAGCACAGACTGGCCCCCAGCGCCGGGTACAGTCACAGGGCAGAGCGCCCACGGCCGCCTGCTGGGACGCCCACACCGGCCCCACGCCCACGCCTGAGGAGGAGGAGAGGCGGGGGTAGGTGTTGCAGGATACATTACCTGTATATTTATGTATGAGCATGTATGTATGCGCCTACTTAGCAGTATAGAATACTCCGGACCATTCAGACACCACTCCTGACCGGAATGTACTTAGTTGAAGCCAGAATGTATAGATTTACATGAAATGTATGCTGTCAGGGTGTATTATACATACGTATATTTGTTTGCATGTATACCTGCGTGGAGAGGGAGGGGCTGGAGCAGGTGGGAAGGGCACCCAGGGCGCGGGACACAGCTCAGCTCTCCGGCGTGACAGCTACACACCACACAGCCTATGGCCACCTCTGTGTCGTGCTCTGAGGGAGGATACATGTATACAGTCCATGTTCTGAGGGAGGATACATGTATACAGTCCATGGTCTGAGGGAGGATACATGTATACAGTCCATGGTCTGAGGGAGGATACATGTATACAGTCCATGGTCTGAGGGAGGATACATGTATACAGTCCATGGTCTGAGGGAGGATACATGTATACAGTCCATGGTCTGAGGGAGGATACATGCACACACTTATTTAATTATTAACATTAGAAGAAAAGCATTAATAGCGAGGAAGGGAGAGGAGGGGGAGGGGGTGGAGGAAGGGAACGCAGATGGGAAAGAGGAGAAAGAATAACACACACAGATGGGAAAGATAAGTAAAGGTATTATAAACATGATAGTTGACAGTTATAATGTTTCTCATAATGGTGCTGATTAAGGCAAAAGTTCTCATATTATATTCCATTATTTCCCCCTCTCTCTCATTCACTTACACGCACACACACACACACACACACACATACCTACGTAACACCTAATCTATCTCCTGAGGCACATATAAATAGGATAACGACAGCAGCGTACTCTACACTGGCAAAAGTTAGATAATCATTCAGAAACCTAAGTAAGGAGGCATTTAGGGCGCTTTACACCGCCTACGTAAGGCCAGTCTTAGAGTATGCCGCCTCATCATGGAGTCCCCATCTGAAGAAGCATATAATGAAACTGGAAAAGGTTCAGAGGTGTGCAACGAGACTCGTCCCAGAGCTACGAGGGATGGGGTATGAGGAGCGCCTGAGGAAACTGTGCCTTACGACACTAGAAAGAAGAAGGGAGAGGGGGACATGATAGGAACATATAAGATACTCAGAGGGATTGACAGAGTGGACATAGACGAAATGTTCACACGGAATAGTAACAGAACGAGAGGACATGGATGGAAGCTGGAAACTCAGAAGAGTCACAGAGATGTTAGGAAGTTTTCTTTTAGCGTGAGAGTAGTGGGAAAATGGAATGCACTTCAGGAACAGGTTGTAGAAGCAAATACTATTCATAATTTTAAAACCAGGTATGATAGGGAAATGGGACAGGAGTCATTGCTGTAAACAACCGATGCTCGAAAGGCGGGATCCAAGAGTCAATGCTCGATCCTGCAGACACAACTAGGTGAGTACAACTAGGTGAGTACACACACACACACACACACACACACACACACACACACACACACACACACACACACACACACTAAGATAATAGAGACCAAACTAGCTGCTAAGATTAGCACCGCAATATTCCCAAGGGAATAACACCAGATAATGAGAACTGAAAGACTTCAAAGAGGACGTGGAGAGGGAGGGGGGAGGAGAGGGGCGCTGCTGGTAAAAACACTTAATCTTTGAGGGAAGGTGATTGGTGGCGGCAGGTGGCAGCAACTAAAGGAACTACACTGTAATAATCCTTCCATCTGAGGGAGAGAAAGTGGTTGTAGTTAATCTCCTCCCGAGGACCTCACAACACTAAGGCAAGAATATGAAATTACGAGCTGAGAATGAATGAATATCCCGCAAAAAGTGGAAGACAACTGCACATAGACTGAATACAACACTTCTTGCAATGGGAAATTTGCTAGTACAAGTTAGTCATACTGAACATACGGCCCTGTATGACTAACCATCCTGCGAGATGGGGACTTTTAGTACCACTGCTGCTGCCTTGTTCCCTCTTGTGTTGATGATATCCTCATATTGCACACAGAGTCTGCCAGTGCAGACAACTTATCACATGCCTCTGTATGACTAGCCATCCTTTGTGATGGGGATATTTTAGTGTCACGTAGCTAGCTTTTTGAAACACTGTACTCCCCTTCAAATAGTCTTAGGCAGCTGCACAAATGCCGATGTACCTAAATGTGTAAATACAAAAATAAACTTTAATCATGTCCAAGTCATCTGGGAACAATGGACCCAAGAGGAGGGGATGAGACATGGAGAGCGAAGCTTGTAGAAGTAGTAGAGAGGAACTTACTGATGCAACATGTGTGGGAGGAAACAAGGAGAAGGAATGGTGACCAGCCAGCTAGGCTAGACCTAGTCTTCACAAACACTGACATGGACATTGAAAACATTGACCATGAAATGCCAATAGGAACCAGTGACCACTATGATTTAGTCTTTGAATACATAGTAACACTGAAGACCAAAGAAAGGTGTAACAAGGGGTGTGAGTGTGAGGCTCCCATACAGGAGAGGAGAGGAAAATTACCAGAAGGTCCGAGACCTGCGATGGACAGAATAGGGTGGAGACCTCAGAGAACAGTCAACACAGGACATGATGGACTACGTAACTTAGTTAGGGAGTTAGTCAGCTGTCACGTACTGCTTCCTGGGCTGTGTGTGTTTGTGTGGTGTGAGGAAAAAAAAAAGTAGTTAGTAAACAGTTGAATGACAGTTGAGAGGCGGGCCGAAAGAGCAAAGCTCAACCCCCACAAACACAACTAGGTGAATACACACAGGACAGGGGAAAAAGGCTGAACCAGCCTTGCTTGATCTGATATGTACCCAAGTGAGTGGGATATAAGGGAAGTTAAGTTGGAAGCGCCCTTGGGAATGAGTGATCACAGTGTATTGAACTTTGAGTACCTGGTAGAGCTAGGATTTATCTCCCCCAAAAAAGAACTAGGAAACAAGGGGCAGGCATACGAAAGGGAAATTATGAGATGAAAAAATTCCTTAGGGATATACAATGGGACACAGAACTCAGAACTAAGTCCGTACAAGACATGATGGACTATGTCACCCAAAAGTGTTAGGAGGCAGTAAACAGGTTTATCCCAGCCCGACAGAAAAAAAAAGAGAAGCAAAAGAAGAATCCATGGTTTAATAGGACATGTATGAAAGCAAAAGAATTAAACAAAAAAACGTGCAGGAACTTCCGAAATAACAGGACACCAGAAAGCAGAGAGAGATACCAGAGAACCAGGAACGAGTATGTTAGTGTGAGAAGAGAAGCTGAGAAAAAGTATGAAAATAATATAGCTAATAATGCTAAGACCGAACCAAAGCTACTACTCAGTCACAACAGTGAAGAAACAGGTGATAAAACTTAGAACGGGTGAGGACAGGTACACAGAGAATGACAAAGAGGTGTGTGAAGAACTTAACATGAGGTTCCAGGAGGTCTTCACAATAGAACAAGGTGATGTCACTGCGCTAGGAGAGGTGGCAGCAAACCAGGCGGGCATGTAAGGGTTCGAAATTACAAGAGATGAGGTCAAGAGACATCTGTTGGATCTGGACGTGAGAAAGGCTGTTGGTCCAGACGGGATCTCGCCATGGGTACTGAAAGAGTGTGCAGGAGCACTTTGCTTCCCACTCTCCATAGTGTACAGTAGGTCACTGGAAATGGGAGACCTACCAGACATATGGAAGACGTCTAATTTGGTCCCAATATACAAAAAGGGTGACAAACAAGAGGCACTGAACTACAGGCCAGTGTCCTTAACTTGTATACCATGCAAGGTGATGGAGAAGATCATGAGAAAAAACCCAGTAACACATCTGGAGAGACGAGACTTCGTGACAACCCATCAACATGGGTTCAGGGAGGGTAAATCTTGCCTTACAGGCTTAACCCAATTCTACGATCAGGTGACAAAGATTAAGCAAGAAAGAGAAGGATGGGCGGACTGCATTTTTTGGGACTGTCAGAAAGCCTTTGACACAGTTCCCCATAAAAGGTTGATGCATAAGCTGGAGAAACAGGCAGGAGTAACTGGTAGGGCGCTCCAGTGGATAAGGGAGTACCTAAGCAATAGGAAGCAGAGAGTTACGATGAGGGGTGAGACCTCAGATTGGCGTGAAGTCACCAGTGGAGTCCCACAAGGCTCTGTACTCGGACCTATCCTGTTTCTGATATACGTAAATGATTTCCCAGAGGGTATAGACTCATTCCTCTCAATGTTTGCTGATGACGCCAAAATTATGAGAAGGATTAAGACAGAGGAGGACAGCTTGAGGCTTCAACAAGACCTGGACAAGCTGCAGGAATGGTCGAACAAATGGTTGTTAGAGTTTAACCAAAGCAAATGTAATGTAATGAAGATAGGTGTAGGAAACAGAAGACGAGATACAAGGTATCATTTGGGAAATGAAATACTTCAAGGGTCTGAGAGAGAGAAAGACCTGGGGATTGATATCACGCCAGACCAGTCCCCTGAAGCCCATATCAAGAGGATAACATCAGCGGCACATGCCAGGTTGGCTAACATAATAACGGCCTTTAGAAACTTGTGTAAGGAATCTTTCAGAACTTTGTATACCACATATGTCAGATCAATCTTGGAATATGCGGCCCCAGTATGGAGTCCATATCTAGTCAAGCATAAGACTAAACTGGAAAAGGTTCAAAGGATTGTAGACTAGTAGCCGAACTGATGGGTATGAGCTACGAGGAGAGACTACGGGGATTAAACCTCACGTCACTGGGAGATAGAAGAGTTAGAGAGGACATGATAACCACATAAAAGATTCTCAGAGGAATTACTAGGGTAGATAAAGACAGACTATTTAACACAAGGGCCACACACACTAGGGGACACAGGTGGAAATTGAGTGCCCAAATGAGCCATAGAGACATTACAAAGAATTTTTTCAGTGTCAGAGTAGTAGACAAATGGAATGCATTATGAAGTGATGTGGTGGAGGCTGACTCCATACACAGCTTCAAGTGTAGATATGATAGAGCCCAATAGGCTCAGGAACCTGTACACCAGTTGACTGACAGTTGAGAGGCAGGACCAAAGAACCAGAGCTCAACCCCCACAAGCACAGCTAGGTAAGTATAAACACACACACACACATAGACAGTGTCAGGAAGCAAAAATGGCCAGCAAGCAGGAGTGGAGGAAGTACAGAAGACAAAGGACAGAGGACAACAGGATCAGATGCAACAGAGCTAGGAACGATTACATTAACATAAGACGAACATCGGAAAGGGACTATGAGAACGATATTGCAATCAAAGCGAAAAAACAACCTAAGTTACTAAACAGTCATATAAGAAGAAAAATGTCGGTGAACGACCAAGTGACAAGATTAAGGAAGACAGAGGGGGCATATACTGAAAGTGATAAGGAAATCTGCGAGGCACTGAATGCCAGTTTCCATGGAGTGTTCACTACCCAGCCTGAGCAGCTCCCATTGTTGGAAGGGGTTACCCTAGATGAAAGACTATCAGATATAGAGGTGACAGCAGAGGAGGTAATGAAACAGTTGACAACTCTAGATGCAACTAAAGCAGTTGGACCAGACAAAGTTTCACCGTGGATACTAAAAGAAGCAGCGCAGGCCCTCAGCGTACCTCTGGCAATGATCTTTAATGAGTCACTTATGTCGGGAGAATTGCCCAGTTGCTGGAAGAAGGCAAATGTCGTGCTGATCTTCAAGAAAGGTGATAGGGAGGAGGCACTTAACTATAGACCTGTATCACTGACAAGCATCCCCTGTAAAATACTGGAAAGAATAATTAGGCTACGACTGGTTGCACACCTGGAGAACATTAGGTTTGTGAACAAACATCAACATGGGTTCTGGACAGGAAAATCGTGCCTAACAAACCTTCTGGAATTCTATGATAAAATAACGAGGATAAGACAGGACAGAGATGGTTGGGCAGACTGCATATTTCTGGACTGCCAAAAAGCCTTTGATACAGTACCACACATGAGACTGCTGTTCAAGCTCGAGAGGCAGGCGGGGGTGGGGGGAAAGGTCCTAGCATAGATAAGGAACTACCTAACAGGAAGGAGCCAAAGAGTTATGGTAAGGGGCGAGAAGTCGGACTGGCGAACAGTAACAAGTGGAGTACCACAAGGATCGGTGCTGGGACCAATTCTATTTCTTGTATATGTTAACGACATGTTTACAGGCGTAGAGTCCTACATGTCGATGTTTGCGGATGACGCAAAGTTGATGAGAAGAGTTGTGACAGATGAGGATTGCAGGATCCTCCAAGAGGACCTGAACAGGTTGCAGAGATGGTCAGAGAAATGGCTACTGGAATTCAACACGAGCAAATGTAAAGTTATGGAAATGGGACTAGGAGATAGAAGACCAAAGGGACAGTACACAATGAAGGGGAACAGCCTACCTGTGACGACGCGCGAAAGAGACCTGGGGGTGGACGTAACACCTAATCTATCTCCTGAGGCACATATAAATAGGATAACGACAGCAGCGTACTCTACACTGGCAAAAGTTAGAACATCATTCAGAAACCTAAGTAAGGAGGCATTTAGGGAGCTTTACACCGCCTACGTGAGGCCAGTCTTAGAGTATGCCGCCTCATCATGGAGTCCCCATCTGAAGAAGCATATAATGAAACTGGAAAAGTTTCAGAGGTTTGCAACGAGACTTGTCCCAGAGCAACGAAGGATGGGGTATGAGGAGCGCCTGAGGGAACTGTGCCTTACGACACTAGAAAGAAGAAGGGAGAGGGGGGACATGATAGGAACGTATAAGATACTCAGAGGGATTGACAGAGTGGACATAGACGAAATGTTCACACGGAATAGTAACAGAACGAGAGGACATGGATGGAAGCTTGAAACTCAGATGAGTCACAGAGATGTTAGGAAGTTTTCTTTTAGCGTGAGAGTAGTGGGAAAATGGAATGCACTTCAGGAACAGGTTGTGGAAGTAAATACTATTCATAATTTTAAAACCAGGTATGATAGGGAAATGGGACAGGAGTCATTGCTGTAAACAACCGATGCTCGAAAGGCGGGATCCAAGAGTCAATGCTCGATCCTGCAGACACAACTAGGTGAGTACACACTCCTACACATACCCAAAACACCCACCCACAGCCACACACACACACACACACACACACACACACACACACACACACACACACACACACACACACAACACATTAGGTAAGTACACACACACACACACACATACAAAACAAGAGAAGCATCAGTGCCTGACCCAGCTTGGAGGTGGGGAGCCAACAAGGGGCGGGGTTGACACAGGGATGGTTGCGGCAGTGCTGGAGGCCGCCCTCACGCCCACACTCACACACACGCCCACACCCAGACGCCCCGGAACTGTGGCAGGGAAAGAGGCACTGTTAGTTGTGGGGGTATCCTGATGGGCGGAATAGTTGGCTGTGTTGTGCTGTGGGGAGGTATGGGAGGGGGGGTGTTCTGTGGGGCTGGAGGAAGGGGTATTCTGTGGGGGGGGGAAGGGGGTGTTCTGTGGGGCTGGGGGAAGGGGGTTGTTCTGTGGGGCTGGGGGAAGGGGGATGTTCTGTGGGGCTGAGGGAAGGGGGTGTTCCTTGAAGTTGAGGGAAGGGGCTGGGGGAAGGGGGGTGTTCTGTGGGGCTGGGGGAAGGGGGTGTTCTGTGAAGTTGAGGGAAGGGGGATGTTCTGTGGGGCTGGGGGAAGGGGGTGTTCTGTGGGGCTGGGGGAAGGGGGTTGTTCTGTGGGGCTGGGGGAAGGGGGTGTTCTGTGGGGCTGGGGGAAGGGGTTGTTCTGTGGGACTGGGGGAAGGGGGTGTTCTGTGGGGCTGGGGGAAGGGGTTGTTCTGTGGGGCTGGGGGAAGGGGGTGTTCTGTGGGGCTGGGGGAAGGGGGTGTTCTGTGAAGTTGAGGGAAGGGGGGTTGTTCTGTGGGGCTGGGGGAAGGGGGTTGTTCTGTGGGGCTGGGGGAAGGGGGGTTGTTCTGTGGGGCTGGGGGAAGGGGGTGTTCTGTGGGGCTGGGGGAAGGGGGTTGTTCTGTGGGGCTGGGGGAAGGGAGTGTTCTGTGGGGCTGGGGGAAGGGGTTGTTCTGTGGGACTGGGGGAAGGGGGTGTTCTGTGGGGCTGGGGGAAGGGGGTGTTCTGTGTGGGACTGGGGGAAGGGGGTGTTCTGTGGGGCTGGGGGAAGGGGGTGTTCTGTGGGGCTGGGGGAAGGGGGTGTTCTGTGGGGCTGGGGGAAGGGGGTGTTCTGTGGGGCTGGGGGAAGGGGGTGTTCTGTAGGGCTGGGGGAAGGGGGTGTTCTGTGGGGCTGGGGGAAGGGGGGTGTTCTGTGGGGCTGGGGGAAGGGGGTGTTCTGTGGGGCTGGGGGAAGGGGGTGTTCTGTGGGGCTGGGGGAAGGGGGTGTTCTGTGGGGCTGGGGGAAGGGGGTGTTCTGTGGGGCTGGGGGAAGGGGGTGTTCTGTGGGGCTGGGGGAAGGGGGTGTTCTGTGGGGCTGGGGGGAAGTGTGTGGGGAGGGAAAGGGGGGAATAGTGAGGTGGAAACTGTATAGATGAAATACATCACTATGTCAACTATATGCAGCAAATAATACACACAAATGCTGTAAGTATGAATACAGAGGAGACGTGCCTGGATGGGACACTGACGAAGGCGCCGACGGGCACGGCGACGCTGGAGACCTCCCCCAGGTGGCAGGCAGGGGTACACAGGTAGGGTCGGCAGGGCTCCCCAGGGCGACACTCACTATTGACGGTGCAGAGGTGGCGGGCCGGGCAGGGGTCCAGGCGGCAGGGGGAGGTGGGCGCCCTCCAGGGAGGCTCGTTGGGCAGGGGTGAGGGGCTGAGGAAGGCGGCGAGGGAGACGCAGGGCGCCCCTGGCAGAGGGCTGAGGGCGTCGCACACCGCCCCTGCTGTCATCTCCCCCTCCCCCACCACTGGCTCGCGCACACACCTGTTAAGCAAACGTTTGTGCTGTAGTCACTTGTGCTGGCGACAGTTACAATGGAATGGTGAAAGTAGATCAGGGCAGACACGGGTGGTCACGGACAAGGCCACACGTGTACAGATCAGGGCAGACACGGGTGGTCACGGACAAGGCCACAGTGTACAGATCAGGGCAGACACGGGTGGTCACGGACAAGGCCACAGTGTACAGATCAGGGCAGACACGGGTGGTCACGGACAAGGCCACAGTGTACAGATCAGGGCAGACACGGGTGGTCACGGACAAGGCCACACGTGTACAGATCAGGGCAGACACGGGTGGTCACGGACAAGGCCACACGTGTACAGATCAGAGCAGACACGGGTGGTCACGGACAAGGCCACACGTGTACAGATCAGGGCAGACACGGGTGGTCACGGACAAGGCCACACGTGTACAGATCAGGGCAGACACGGGTGGTCACGGACAAGGCCACACGTGTACAGATCAGAGCAGACACGGGTGGTCACGGACAAGGCCACACGTGTACAGATCAGGGCAGACACGGGTGGTCACGGACAAGGCCACACGTGTACAGATCAGGGCAGACACGGGTGGTCACGGACAAGGCCACACGTGTACAGATCAGAGCAGACACGGGTGGTCACGGACAAGGCCACACGTGTACAGATCAGGGCAGACACGGGTGGTCACGGACAAGGCCACACGTGTACAGATCAGGGCAGACACGGGTGGTCACGGACAAGGCCACACGTGTACAGATCAGGGCAGACACGGGTGGTCACGGACAAGGCCACACGTGTACAGATCAGGGCAGACACGGGTGGTCACGGACAAGGCCACACGTGTACAGATCAGGGCAGACACGGGTGGTAACGGACAAGGCCACACGTGTACAGATCAGGGCAGACACGGGTGGTCACGGACAAGGCCACACGTGTACAGATCAGGGCAGACACGGGTGGTCACGGACAAGACATGTTGGAAATTTCCAACACTAATAAACCACTATTGTATTATAATAAATTATTATTATCATTATATACTAACTACAGTAGTTACTAATTTCACTAACGGTAGTGTCAACATAAATTAACCATTGCATCTGCGTATTAATGCTAGAATTCTCATGAAATCGAGTAGCACCATTGCATCAGATAATGTCCAGTTAGACACATTTATTACCAATGGGTTAGAGAATTGAATGTGGTTCTCTAAAATTATCAGTATTCCGTGTAATAATTACTTACGGATAATATGAATCCCGATAATCTAAAACCGAGAGTTATTAACTAAAATTGTTATGTAGTAGCAGTCCTTTCTGTTACGTAAGAATGTCATGGAGAAAATAAAATCTTCTCCATTTCTCGTTAGACGCCATAAAACGAGAATATGATAATATTTAAATCCCTATAATTGCAACCCAGTTCTCATTAACGTATTACATCCATAATTGCGAGGAAAAGAATTATTCGTGATTAATAATTTCTGTGGTGAATGCGAGAGACGGGTTGAGGGAGGCGGCGACGCCATTGTGCGAGAGAGGGCATCCCTGGCGTGAAGAGTGGCGAGACACGTGGTAGTGACTGGGGAATTTATCGGCAAGAATTACGCTGATACTCGGTCAACAGTTAATAATTACTTATCCACGTGTTCTATAGTGCCCAGCCAGTTAATAACGCGTCAACAATTGAAGCCAAGACCCGTAATTACACGTACACAGCAGTGGACGTCAGGGACTGGCTGACGCGGTTCCGGCAGACCTCAGTATTCAATACGCTCACGATAAGTATATGTTTCTCGTTTGATGCATCATCCTAGATTATATATTTGTGAGTAGTTTGTCGTCATATAGCGAGGATACCCAATATACAACGTTAGTAAAAGTTCGACAATTTCCTCCGTTTTCATGAATATTGAAAATAAAACGTAGCCTATTCAAATGCTACTTAAATTTCTCTGATTTCAGCGTGTATGCGAGGAGTCATCAAGTTGTTTCTCTTCATTCGTGATATTCACCTCGAGTTCTTTCTTTGTGGAGATCCTGTGAACACGAGGACGAATGACGAAATGATGTTACAGAAATCGTCTTAAAGCTAAGACATTTTTCGTACAAATTTATTTAATATGATTTTGATTCTTATATAATTCCTGTAGAATCTTTGCATTGAATAGATTATTACCAGAAATGATGATTGGTAATTAATGTGTTTGCTCTGACTGTTGCTCAGTAATTCATGATCTTTAATATTCACAATTTGAGTTCTCATATTTGAATCTATAGTAGTTTAGATTTATAATATCATTTACTCAGCAATGAACTGGTGGCGAACCACACTGGTTCCTAGATGTATATGAATTTCTAGAAATACCCCCCAATGTAGGTCTCTGAGGCTCTGACTTTAATTAATTAATAATACAGTCCATTCATTATTTCAAGTGATTATCCTTTTAATAATTATCCATAGACACTGGTTCTCTAGTGTTATTCTAATGATCACTTTTATTAGTTTTCCCTCTTTTCTCAAAAGTGGGTGGTCCTTCGATTTATTAAATCAAATAAGTAAATAATTGAATATATGAGTCAAGCCCCAGATATCCCACATATGTTGGTTACAAGATGGGTGGAGGCCGGTTAGGAATGCAGCCTGGGAGAGGCAAGATGGCTGACACATCCAGGCTCAGGAGGGAGCGAATCCCGCCGAAACCAGACCGGAAGCGAGGACACTAGGTCTCCACGAATGTTGAAATTGTGACTGGCTGGTCAACGGAGGCGAAGCCAATGAGAACATGCCATCGCCTGACGTAACGTCACCGACGTGTTGTGGGTGCGGGAGTCAAAGAAGCATCACTTCTCTCCAGGTGTTCATCAGAACGGACGCACCATTTGTCACTCCAGCAAGACGCGGCCAACTCAGTAACCCAAGAGCCACTTCTGGGGTTGGAGAGACCTGAGGCAAACGGAGGTTGTCCTGGTCAACTGTTGGCTGGTTGTGAGGGGAACCTGGGAGAGTGTAACCTCATGGAACTACTATCCGGGGAAAGTGCCAAGCCATTACGACTTCACAGCACTGGGAACGGGGCAGGATAAAGGATTTGGGATGGGACGTGGAGGAAAGAATGGTGCCCAACCACTTGGACGGTCGGGGATTGAACTCCAACCTGCATGAAGCGAGACCGTCACGAGACCGTCCAGCCCAAGTGGCTGGGTGCAGCCTCAAGGAACTGTCCCTGTAACGTGGGAGCTGTCAGTAGACCAGTAAGCCAGTGCATGGGAGCAAAGAGTGTGTGGGGCCCTCTGTCGGCCCTACCACTGTGATGCAACAAGGATGATTGGAGATGATCAACCAAGATCAAGAGGATGCTCTAGTGACCATTCTGCCAACCACAACAGCCGAGACAAGAGTGACGAGTATACAGTCCATCAAAGGTAGACCAATACCTCTCTATACCCGTTGTACTAGACTATTCATTGACTGCGAGTAGCCGCGTCCAGCAGCCAAGTTGACCAGACCATCAACCAGGAGGCCTGGTCAGGGACCGGGCCGTGGGGACCTTAAACCCCAGAAGTATTGCAAGGTGTTACTCCGGTGATTACGGAGTTTACTTTATTGATTATTCGTGAGAGTCAGGATACATATATATATATACTCAGGTATACTCAAGTGTGCTCATTTTGGTGTACATTTGATTTGATCCAGAAGGCCAAGGCTGCCAGTTATTAATACAGAGAGTATCTTAACTTTAAGTTGACTAAGTGTTTATTTGTATTAAATTTTACTCATTAGTATCCAATGCTGTGGTTCAGTTTACTGTCAGTGTATTAAATGTGAACCCATTACATATGATGCTAGAAGACATTATTAACTTGCAGCAGAGAGGAATTAGGGATGTGTTGCCTTTATTGTTTTGAATTTCGAAGTGTTGCCATAACGAAACTGTCACCAGAATTTTGTTTGCCACAAGCAGATTTAAATATTGTTAGTAAACGTATGTTCTTTTTATTATTGTGTTGGGTATTAGGTCCCCATCTTCACTTTGTAAACTATTTACCTGGGCTTATAACTGAGTAGGAGTACCACCATCTAAGCTTGAGCTGGGACTTAGTACCATTACATTGTAGAAGTTTACCTTGCAGCGGTAGAATGAGCTGGCTTGGTTGGCGACCTTTGAGAGTTATTTTGTGAGCTCTAAGCCGAGGGTACTGAGCCGTATGCATTGACGGTCGTGAAGAGACTGCGGCTCGGAGGACCATTGGTCTGATCCCACTCCTCACGGAGTACATGACCGGGGTGTGTGCATAATCCCCCTGCTTCACGTGTGACTGGGATACTTCTCGGTGCTAGTGGCGATGAAGGAGGAGAGACCATCGTGCCACGAACACAAACTATTTCACAAACACCAGAAATGTATCCCACATCATGCTCCCTAATCCACAGACCACTACATCCTCTACAACCAAACCAAATTAAAAACCTTCACAGTCTACAACACAACACATCACAACCTTCTTATGCTCTTGCATAATGGCTATCCTGTGCGAGTCTAAACTCTAAAGCACAAGTTCACATTACTTACTAAATGAACCATTGGTGATGTGTGGATGCTCAGTGAAGTAGCAATACATATAATGAGTAGCAATATTAGTAGCAGAAGTAGTAACAGTTGTAGTAGTTGAAATAATAATACCCATGATAAATAACAGCACTATCAGATGTTGTGTCAACAACAGAGGCTCAGGTAAAGGCAACAAAAACAACAGAGGGTGTGCTCACTGCTCCAGTCGACACTGAGGATGACAGTAATGGAAGGAAGCTATAACATAGGAGATGATACCTTTCCTGTGTCAACACCAAGTACTGACCTCGAGAGGAGTCTAACGCAGTCGTTCCAGCAGATGGTGTTGGTGAGCGAAGTGGGATGACACGGCCGCAGGTGTAGTGAGCAGGCCACGGCTCTCCACAGCTCTCCCTGGCACTCCTTCACACTCTTAAGTGGCACTGAGGCGGCCAGACCAGGCAGGCTGAGTGTCAAGCTCTCCTCCCAGAGCTGCAGGTCCTCCTGTGCAGCGGCGTCAGCGCGAGAGTTGCAGGAGCGAAAGAGATGGTTGGGTCGGTGATTGAAGTTGCTGCAGAAAGACAGACCGGAACATCCTTGTTGACACGGGGCGTCTGCCTCTGCCAGGCAGGCAAAGAGGGTGGACTCCTGAGGGCGAGTGAGGCAGGAGGTGTGGAGGGCGTCCCATGCCCTACCCCACTCCTTGGAGAAGGCACGCACACACAGCCCTTGGCACTCCGCGGACACTGCTCTCTTGCAGCAGCCGAGTTTCGCTGCATCCAGTCCAAGCCGACCCAGCTTGGACACCTGCAACAGTAAATTGATACCCTTTGAACCCTATGTTAATGATACCAATAAAAAATGTGGTTCAAGAGTACATGTGTGCCCCAGGTGTGGAGACACATGTGCAGGTGACCTACCTGTCTGACCTCCGGGACAGCTGCATCACTCTGACGAAACAGACACTTCCACACCCCATTCTGTCAAAACAAGATACAAGGGCTCACATCACTATCAAAATTCAATGTAAAAATTCAATAATAAACTAAACCTCCAAAATATTTAGATTCTCTTTCTGTTGCAAAATGTTAATTGGATTCGCACAATAAAAAAACAGAAAATATAAGACACAACAAGATAATTAAGAGGAAACAAAGGTGAGAAAAGGAGTGAAGTATTAATTCATCTTGGAATGTTGGTAAATTAGCCACCAATCGACAGGTAGTTGATATATAGTTATTTGAGAAATAGACCATTAAATGATCACGATCATAAACCACTAGGACGGAAGTGACCCCATATTCACTTAGAAGGATTCCTCTTCGATTTCAAATATATATAACAACCCGTGCAACAACAGTATACAGTCAAATTGTCTAAATACAATATTGAGGCTCTGATACATTAGAAATTAAGTATAGCAACACAAGATGTTGTCTTGAGGAATGGTTTGCATCGTTCTGAGATGACCTGAAGATTGTTGTCCAGACTCCGTGCTGGTGGGCAGGATGGCCGCTGTAAGCCAACTTTGTGCTTAGACAAGACTAAATTTGATGCATTTGGTAGAATTCTGCAGTGATGTGTTAACTTCCATGGTCAACTATCAAGCGAGCCCACTAAACATGCGCATGAACACACGCTCGCAAGCACACACGCACACACGCTCGCACACACACACACACACACACACACACACACACACACACACACATGCACAGACACACACACACAGAGTCAGGGAAGGAAAAAGACTTGGGGGTTGATATCACGCCAGACCTGTCTCCTGCAGCACATATCAAGCGGATAACATCAGCGGCATATGCCAGGCTGGCCAACATACGAACGGCATTCAGAAACTTGTGTAAAGAATCATTCAGAACTTTGTATACCACATATGCCAGGCCAATCCTGGAGTATGCAGCCCCAGCATGGAGTCCATATCTAGTCAAGGATAAGACTAAACTGGAAAAGGTTCAAAGGTTTGTCACCAGACTAGTACCCGAGCTGAGAGGTATGAGCTACGAGGAGAGACTACGGGAACATGATCACCACATTCAAGATTCTGAAGGGAGTTGATAGGGTAGATAAAGACAGTCTATTTAAGACAAGGGGAACACGCACAAGGGGACACAGGTAGAAACTGAGCACCCAAATGAGCCACAGAGATATTAGAAAGAACTTTTTTAGTGTCAGAGTGGTTGACAAATGGAATGCATTAGGGGGTGATGTGGTGGAGGCTGACTCCATACACAGTTTCAAGTGTAGATATGATAGAGCCCAATAGGCTCAGGAATCTGTACACCTGTTGATTGACAGTTGAGAGGCGGGACCAAAGAGCCAGAGCTCAACCCCCGCAAACACAACTAGGTGAGTACAAGCACAGACACACACACACGCACACACAGTAGGGAGGGCACAGAGAGGGAAGACACGTATGCCTGCGCTCCTCAAAAAAGTATTCATAACTCAGGACATCTGAGTGATATGGAGAAAAATCATTGCATAGTGATATTATGAAGTTTAACATACCAGTTATGAAAAAGCAATGTCAGTGACTGTGACTATGCGAATTAGTCAATAAACTAGGGGTACGACATCAGTGCCACCACAGACACCATTGCTGCCACGGTTGCAAATTCATGCTCAGTGTGAACATAACTAGCTATGATAGTGATAGTGAAGAGTAAAGCAAGCTGTCATAACATGTAACACTAGGGCTAGACCAGTGCTAAGGGGGAAGAAGAAACTGCATATCTGATGAGATATAGTGGAAGGTGGGAGTGAGCAGGCACCTGGCAGTGGTGTGAGCATCAACAAGGCCTACAGTGACGACAACATTGCGGAACACTTCATAAATCACCTAGTTGTGCACTGGGGGTTGATGTGCACGGTAAGAGCCTCTCGAGTCAATGATACGGTGTACAGTGTTCTTTTAATATAATAATTAGTCTTGGATGTAAGCTAAAAAAAACGAAAACGAGTCTTGAGACAATATATGGCTCATCTGGGTACTAGTTTTACACCTATATGTGATTTGCTGCCCCCCCCCCCCGGGCTAAAACCTCTCACCTAATACCATCCCAACTATAAACCCATCCATAACCACACCAAACCCTGCCCCAGCACTCTCCAACATTGACCCTCCTCCTCCTCCCCCCTCCTGCTTGCCCTCATACTCTCATTTCCCTCTCCCTCTCCATCTCTCTCCCTCACTCTCTCTCTCCTTCACTCATCTCTTTCTCTCCAGCTCTTCTCTACCTCTGACCCTTCCCTCTCCTATGCTCTCTCCCTTCACCCCTCCATACACCAACCACCATTACACTATTTCTAGATAAAACAGTCACGAAAAGGAATGGTGGCTTCCACACTGCAGTCTACACTAAGGAAACAAACATAGGAATATGCCTTCATGCCAATATTGACTGCCCAGACAGGTACAAGAGAAGTGTTGTCAACGCTTACGTCGACCGGGCTCTCACTCACAGCTCTGGTTGGAAGCAGGTCGATGAAGAACTCTGTAGGGTAAGGCAGGTCCTAGTCAACAATGGCTTCTCTAACGGTTATGTTGAAGACGTCATAAAAAGAAAGGTGAAACGCCATGCAACCTCTGAAGAGTCAACCAACACAACACTTGTACCCCCTATTGGACTGTTTTACAGGAATTTATTTTTGACGGCTCATAAAACGGAGGAAAGTGTCCTGAAAGATATTATTATTAGGAACGTTATCCCCACAGACAAAAATCAGAAGATATAATTGACAATTTACTACAAAAACAAAGAAACGACCAACCTACTCACAATACTCTCCAGACACCAAACAGAATGTCTTGAAAGAAACCAATGTCGTCTATGCCTTCATGTGACCACTTGAGGACTGTCAGCCCCAAAGATCTCAGTATGTAGGCAAGACAACAACGTCTCTTTCCAGGCGATTAACAATGCACAAACAACAGGGCTCCATCAAGGAACATATAATCTCTTCTCACAACCAGACCATCACCAGAGAAATCTTAACAAGCAACACAGAAATCATCGATAGAGACAGCAATAGCAGGAGATTCAACATCAGCGAGGCCCTACACATCAAAAAGTCAACACAAGCAATCAACAGTCAATTAACACAACTATATTCTACCCACTTCAAGACCCCGAAAAAACATAGTAGCAGCAAGAGCAATATAGAAGCAGCAAATATGCAATATACCCATTGATTCATGTTCTGTCTTTTGTCATGGGTTCGAGTCACTTCTGGGGTGTGAGTTTTCAGTTACATGTATGCCTGGGAACCATTCAGGCTTGTTCGCATTTGTGTTCCTCACGTGTGCCCCAAAGAATGAGGTGATTTGATAAAATACTATGCCCAAGATTACCATCAGAATGCCAGCGGGCTGATGGGCAAATAGCCTCGGCTACCATCAGCTTTTGTCCGGTTGTGATGGTCGAGTGGATTAGGTGCCCTGTACACCAGTTGCAAAATGCTCCTAGCAGTATGGGTTCGAGTTTGTTTCAAAAATAACTCCTAGAATCATTCCATGGTTTAGATAAGTTGATGATATTTTGTGTATATGGCCTTCAGATGTAAACACAGACGAATTTGTAGCCAAACTTAATGACCAAGTCACCTCTATAAAATTTACTATGGAGACTGAAATTGATAAATGTTTGCCATTCCTAGATGTACTTATTCATAGGGAAGATTCTTCACTAAAGTTTAGTGTCTACAGAAAACCTACGAATAATTTATCTTATGTTCATTATTTCTCAGGACATAGATACAATGTGAAAAAGTCAATTTTTTCTTCAATGTATATAAGAGCTCTTCGAGTTGTGAGTCCAGAATTCTTAGACGAAAAGTTTAAGAATATTGATTAGATTGGTCTCAAGCTTTGTTATCCACTGAGTTTTTTGGAAGTTTGCCGTAGCAAAGCACGTCGTACATATTATAATAATATATGCAGTGAAAGAGCTCGCCCAAAGAATGTGTTATGTTTACCATATTTCTCTGGGTTTGAGAATATTGTCAAGGCCTTGAAACTTTTTAATATACATGTGTTGTTTAGTTACGAAAATACTGTTGGTAAGCTATTAGTTAGGAACAGCCCTCGTAGTGATAATTGTGTCATTTATAAAATACCTTGTAAAGACTGTAATAAGTTCTATGTTGGGCAAACATCTAAAGATTTGAAATGTAGAATTTCGCAACATAAATACTCTGTAAGACATGGCCAATTGTCTAATGCTTTGTTTGTTCATCTGTCAGAAGATGCTCACCAAATTGATTGGGAGATGGCTTCTTCAATAACGAATTGTAAAAGCACCTATAACAGAAACATAATTGAATCTGCTTTGATACAGATCACAAAAGAAAGTAATTTAAACATTAGCAGCGGTTTATATAACTTAGATCCATTTTTAATAGGTCAATTAAAGGGCGAGCTGAGTAGGATCATTGGAACACATTTGTCTCACTAATTCATTGTAAATATTTACTATCTTATGCTATGATTATCCATGTGTGGGCCTGTGTGTGGTTATGAATGGGAGCTGCATCGGATGGGCCAATAGGCCCTCTGCAGTTTTTGTGCGGCTCATATTTGTGTCCACTTATTGTACCTCACCTCACTCCACCATTCTCTCCTGCCTATTTATGTCCAGTACTCGACCTGTAAAACCACTCCTTCTGAAGATGTATTAATATACGAAAGTACTTAAGGAAATTCCTGTTTCAATTTTCCTCCGTGGTCTGACACTGTCATATATATATATATATATATATATATATATATATATATATATATATATATATATATATATATATATATATATATATATATATATATATCCACCACATGGCCGTCACAGTGAAGTGTCTTGTCAAGCTCAGCCTTCTCCGCTGCTTATTTAAAGAAGAATTACGAGCGCATTTAACTGGCAAAGTCTACAAGCCTCACAGTCGTTTTCCCGGCGGCTGTTGTGATTGTAAACGACACGTTCGAGAGGAATGGCCATGCAGTGGCGGGAGTCACGCAACACAGCTCCTGTGAGCTTGGCGCCGGGAGTCGGGCAACACACAGGCGCTGTGAGCTTGGCGCCGGGAGTCGGGCAACACACAGGCGCTGTGAGCTTGGCGCCGGGAGTTGGACGACACACAGGCGCTGTGAGCTTGGCGCCGGGAGTCGGGCAACACACAGGCGCTGTGAGCTTGGCGCCGGGAGTCGGGCAACACACAGGCGCTGTGAGCTTGGCGCCGGGAGTCGGGCAACACACAGGCGCTGTGAGCTTGGCGCCGGGAGTCGGGCAACACACAGGCGCTGTGAGCTTGGCGCCGGGAGTCGGGCAACACACAGGCGCTGTGAGCGTGGTGGCGCCGGGCTGTTTGTTTACCTGGACCTTACCTGGAACTGGCGCCACCTCTATCCCCGACGAGGCTGTGGCCGCCGCCACGAACTGAAGCAGACAGCTGGCGACTGTACGCCAGCAGGTCGTGTTCCCAGAACAAACATTCTGAAGAAACTTGTCAAGGGCTCACATTTGCTCACGCCAACATTATCTTCCCTGACACAAGAGTTGTTAAGACATTACTGTGATACACAAAGACTGTTAGCAAGCGTCGAGTTGGGATGTGTTTATCACTCGCGGAGCTTCAAACCCTCCTCCTCGCCCTCTCCCGTCTCTCTATTACTAGTTTTCTCGTCTCTTCCTTCTTTATCTATGTTCCTGGACTATGTTAAGTGTCTCGCTCTATCCTCCTCTTAACACTATTCATGAAACACTTGAATTAAGCTCGAGTTGAGGAGTCTGAGTGACTCGAACCCTCGCTGTAAGTGCGACCCGCTGAACAAAGAGGCTGTCAGACAGTAAAAGAAAATGAAATTTTATACATGTTGTTCCGATATCTTGATGCATTCATTACCTGATAGCGACTCATTCATTCATTACCTGATAGCGACTCATGCATTCATTACCTGATAGCGACTCATGCATTCATTACGTGATAGCGACTCATGCATTCATTACGTGATAGCGACTCATGCATTCATTACCTGATAGCGACTCATGCATTCATTACCTGATAGCGACTCATGCATTCATTACCTGATAGCGACTCACTTTCCTCAGAGCCGTAAGTAGACGGAAAGTTTGGGTGTTGGGAGGAACACAGAGACACACTTTACTCCAAGAAACAGCTGCTCTTGTGTTTAATTAGTTGTTCATGTTGGCAAGTTTGGTCTCGCTCTCCGCCACACACCACATGATGAAACACTACCACCATCCTCACTCTTGCACCTGTTATCTTGTACTGAACTATATCACAAAGACATGTTGATGACGGTGGTGATGGTGATGACGGCAGTGATGGTGATGACGGTGGTGATGGTGATGACGGCGGTGATGTTGATGACGGTGGGGATGATGATGACGGCGGTGATGGTGATGACGGTGGTGATGGTGATGACGGCAGTGATGGTGATGACGGCAGTGCTGGTGATGACGGTGGTGATGTTGATGACGGTGGGGATGATGATGACGGCGGTGATGGTGATGACGGTGGTGATGACGGTGGTGATGGTGATGACGGCAGTGATGTTGATGACGGTGGGGATGATGATGACGGCGGTGATGGTGATGACGGTGGTGATGGTGATGACGGCAGTGATGGTGATGACGGTGGTGATGTTGATGACGGTGGGGATGATGATGACGGCGGTGATGGTGATGACGGTGGTGATGACGGTGGTGATGGTGATGACGGCAGTGATGGTGATGACGGCAGTGATGGTGATGACGGTGGTGATGTTGATGACGGTGGGGATGATGATGACGGCGGTGATGGTGATGACGGTGGTGATGGTGATGACGGCAGTGATGGTGATGACGGCAGTGATGGTGATGACGGTGGTGATGTTGATGACGGTGGGGATGATGATGACGGCGGTGATGGTGATGACGTTGGTGATGACGGTGGTGATGGTGATGACGGCGGTGATGGTGATGACGGCGGTGATGGTGATGACGGCGGTGATGGTGATGACGGCGGTGATGGTGATGACGGCGGTGATGGTGATGACGTTGGTGATGGTGATGACGGCGGTGATGGTGATGACGGCGGTGATGGTGATGACGGCGGTGATGGTGATGACGGCGGTGATGGTGATGACGTTGGTGATGGTGATGACGGTGGTGATGGTGATGACGGCGGTGATGGTGATGACGGCGGTGATGGTGATGACGGCGGTGATGGTCATGACGGTGGGGATGATGATGACGGCGGTGATGGTGATGACGGTGGTGATGGTGATGACGACAGTGATGGTGATGACGGTGGTGATGGTGATGACGGCGATGGTGATGACGGCGGTGATGGTGATAAGGGTGATGGCGGCGCCCCCCAACTCACCGTCAGGTCAACAGTGCCACAGGCGTCCTCCAGCTGGTCGAGGATGTCCTGTTGAGGAGCCTGGGAGGTGAGCACGGCCCGACACGCCGCCCGACACGACCACGACACCGAGGCCGCGCAGCAGTGCAGGTCTGCTGGAGACGTCCACCAGGTGTTAGTCAGGTGTGTGGCGCCTCCCTGGTGTTTGTCAGGTGTGTGGCGCCTCTCTGTTGACAGTCAGGTGTGTGGCGCCTCTCTGTTGACAGTCAGGTGTGTGGTGCCTCTCTGATGAGTCAGGTGTGTGGTGCCTCTCTGTTGACAGTCGGGTGTGTGGTGCCTCTCTGATGAGTCAAGTGTGTGGCACCTCTCTGGTGTTAGTCAGGTGTGTGGCACCTCTCTGTTGACAGTCAGGTGTTCAGTCATGCCTGTCGTGACAGTCAAGTGTTCAGTCATGCCTGTCGTGACAGTCAGGTGTTCAGTCATGCCTGTCGTGACAGTCAGGTGTTCAGTCATGCCTGTCGTGACAGTCAGGTGTTCAGTCATGCCTGTCGTGACAGTCAGGTGTTCAGTCATGCCTGTCGTGACAGTCAGGTGTTCAGTCATGCCTGTCGTGACAGTCAGGTGTTCAGTCATGCCTGTCGTGACAGTCAGGTGTTCAGTCATGCCTCTCGTGACAGTCAGGTGTTCAGTCATGCCTCTCGTGACAGTCAGGTGTTCAGTCATGCCTGTCGTGACAGTCAGGTGTTCAGTCATGCCTCTCGTGACAGTCAGGTGTTCAGTCATGCCTGTCGTGACAGTCAGGTGTTCAGTCATGCCTGTCGTGACAGTCAGGTGTTCAGTCATGCCTGTCGTGACAGTCAGGTGTTCAGTCATGCCTGTCGTGACAGTCAAGTGTTCAGTCATGCCTGTCGTGACAGTCAGGTGTTCAGTCATGCCTGTCGTGACAGTCAAGTGTTCAGTCATGCCTGTCGTGACAGTCAGGTGTTCAGTCATGCCTGTCGTGACAGTCAGGTGTTCAGTCATGCCTGTCGTGACAGTCAGGTGTTCAGTCATGCCTGTCGTGACAGTCAGGTGTTCAGTCATGCCTGTCGTGACAGTCAGGTCTTCAGTCATGCCTGTCGTGACAGTCAGGTGTTCAGTCATGCCTGTCGTGACAGTCAGGTGTTCAGTCATGCCTGTCGTGACAGTCAGGTGTTCAGTCATGCCTCTCAGTCAGGTGTCTCGTTATACAAGATTGATAACTACAGTCAATGTATCCCATACTGTATAATGTATTTAGTTATGACTATTACTATGGCTGCCGTTATCATTATGGACCACTGGGTATAATGACATTGTCTTCAGTGAGGCTAGGGGCGTGTCTGGCATCATTAGTATGATGACAGTGTCAACTGCTTCACTTTTATGATGAATAATTACTACACTTGAAATGACTTTATTGTCACTTTTAATGAAGACAAATACACACTTATTTATGAAGTCCCACTCATAAGTGTGAGGTTATTGGCATGGGTTGGGGGGGGGGGGGGGGGTTGTGAGGTTGAGTCCCACTCATAAGTGTGAGGTTACTGGTGAGGGTTGGGGGGGGGGGTTGTGAGGTTGAGTCCCACTCATAAGTGTGAGGTTACTGGTGAGGTAGTGTACTTACTTCTCTCTGGGCGGTGTGAGGGGGTGGTCTTGGTGAGGGCGTGCGCACAGCGGGTGACATGGGCGTGGGCGTGGCAGTCCTTGGAGAGCTGGTGGCGGAGGCGTCTTGAGGGCGTGCGGGCGGCGAAGACCGCCTCACACGACGCCCGGCAGCGGTACGACTGTGTCCGGGCGCAGCAGCCCGCCCCTTCCTGCTCCCTCACAGTGAGGTGGGTCTTAGTGAGGTGGTGGTGCTCTCTAGCTCTCTCTCTCTCTGTCGCTCTGTCGCTCTGTCGCTCTCTCTCTCTCTCTCTCTCTCTCTCTCTCTCTCTCTGTCGCTCTCTCTCTCTCTCTCTCTCTCTCTCTCTCTCTCTCTCTCTCTCTCTCTCTCTCTCTCTCTCTCTCTCTCTCTGTCGCTCTCTGTCGCTCTCTCTCTCTCTCTCTCTCTCTCTCTCTCTCTCTCTCTCTCTCTCTCTCTCTCTCTCTCTCTCTCTCTCTCTCTCTGTCGCTCTCTCTCTCTCTCTCTCTCTCTCTCTCTCTCTCTCTCTCTCTCTCTCTCTCTCTCTCTCTCTGTCGCTCTCTCTCTCTCTCTGTCGCTCTCTCTCTCTCTGTCGCTCTCTCTGTCGCTCTCTCTCTCTCTGTCGCTCTCTCTCTCTCTCTCTCTCTCTCTCTGTCTCTCTCTCTCTCTCTCTCTGTCGCGCTCTCTCTCTGTCGCTCTCTCTCTCTCTCTCTCTCTCTCTCTCTCTCTCTCTCTCTCTCTCTCTCTCTCTCTCTCTCTCTCTCTCTGTCGCTCTCTCTCTCTCTCTCTCTCTGTCGCTCTCTCTCTCTCTCTCTCTCTGTCGCTCTCTCTCTCTCTCTCTCTCTCTCTCTCTCTCTCTCTCTCTCTCTCTCTCTCTCTCTCTCTCTCATACACAAGGGAAGAGCTGCGACCCGGCCAAAGACACACACAATACACCCACACAGTTGAACACGCCAAGACAATGTACACATACCCACATACCCACATACCACATACCACATACCCACATACCCACATAACCCCACATACCACATAACCCACATACCCACATAACCCACATACCCACATACCCACACACCCACATAACCCACATACCCCACATAACCCACATACCCACATACCCACATACCCCACATACCCACATACCCACATACCCCACATACCCGTAAGGCTGCTCACCTCAGTCCTCCGCAGACACTGGAAGAAGTCGACGTGGTGAGAGGCCCGACACAGGGGCGTGAGGTGGGGCTGGTGTCGGGCCCTCAGGCAGGCCGCCTGGCACTCTGGCACCAGGGCCAGCCTGCAGCACGGCCGCCCCCACCACCCCGCCCCCTCCGCCACACCTGCCACCACAACACACACGTTATTATACGTCATACATTATTATACATCATACATTATTATACATCATACATAACAATACTACACACAGAAAGCACAATAAGGTGATGCATCATATGGACATATCCACAAGGGCCTTCATGAGGGGTTCGAACCTGTGCGCTACTCTTAACTATCACTGTTGACATTTTAATCTCATATGATACCTGATCAACCAGCCTGTGACTCATATGTCTGACAGCAAGCAGCCGCCTCCAACAGCCTGGTTGACCAGTCCAGCAACCAGGATGGCTGGTCACTGACTGGTTGTCAGGTGTGTGAGGGGGGGTTGTCAGGTGTGTGAGGGGGTTGTCAGGTGTGTGAGGGGGTTGTCAGGTGTGTGAGGGGGGTTGTCAGGTGTGTGAGGGGGGGTTGTCAGGTGTGTGAGGGGGGTTGTCAGGTGTGTGAGGGGGGTTGTCAGGTGTGTGAGAGGGGGTTGTCAGGTGTGTGAGGGGGTTGTCAGGTGTGTGAGGGAGTTATCAGGTGTGTAAGGGGGCTGTCAGGTGTGTGAGGGGGTTGTCAGGTGTGTGAGGGGGGTTGTCAGGTGTGTGAGGGGGGTTGTCAGGTGTGTGATGGGGGTTGTCAGGTGTGTGAGGGGGGGTTGTCAGGTGTGTGAGGGGGGGTTGTCAGGTGTGTGAGGGGGGGTTGTCAGGTGTGTGAGGGGGTTGTCAGGTGTGTGAGGGAGTTGTCAGGTGTGTAAGGGGGCTGTCAGGTGTGTGAGGGGGGTTGTCAGGTGTGTGAGGGGGTTGTCAGGTGTGTGAGGGGAGTTGTCAGGTGTGAGAGGGGGTAGTCAGGTGTGTGAGGGGGGTTGTCAGGTGTGTGAGGGGGGTTGTCAGGTGTGTGAGCGGGGTTGTCAGGTGTGTGAGGGGGGTTGTCAGGTGTGTGAGGGGGGTTGTCAGGTGTGTGAGGGGGTTGTCAGGCGAGTGAGGGGGTTGTCAGGTGTGTGAGGAGGGTTGTCAGGTGTGTGAGGGGGGTTGTCAGGTGTGTGAGGGGGGGTTGTCAGGTGTGTGAGGGGGGTTGTCAGGTGTGTGAGGGGGGTTGTCAGGTGTGTGAGGGGGTTGTCAGGTGTGTGAGGGGGGTTGTCAGGTGTGTGAGGGGGTTGTCAGGTGTGTGAGGGGGGTTGTCAGGTGTGTGAGGGGGTTGTCAGGTGTGTGAGGGGGGTTGTCAGGTGTGTGAGGGGGTTGTCAGGTGTGTGAGGGGGGTTGTCAGGTGTGTGAGGGGGTTATCAGGTGTGTGAGAGGGGGGTTGTCACGTGTGTGAGGGGTTGTCAGGGTGTGTGGAGGGGGGTTGTCAGGTGTGTGAGGGGGGTTGTCAGGTGTGTGATGGGGGTGTCAGGTGGGTGAGGGGGGTTGTCAGGGTGTGTGAGGGGGGTTGTCAGGTGGTGTGAGGGGGTTGTCAGGTGTGTGAGGGGGTTGTCAGGTGGGTGAGGGGGGGGTGTCAGGTGTGTGAGGGGGGGTTGTCAGGTGTGTGAGGGGGTTGTCAGGTGTGTGAGGGGGGTTGTCAGGTGTGTGAGGGGGTTGTCAGGTGTGTGAGGGGTTGTCAGGTGTGTGAGGGGGGTTGTCAGGTGTGTGAGGGGGTTGTCAGGTGTGTGAGGGGGGGTTGTCAGGTGTGTGAGGGGGGGTTGTCAGGTGTGTGAGGGGGGGGTTGTCAGGTGTGTGAGGGGGGGTTGTCAGGTGTGTGAGGGGGTTGTCAGGTGTGTGAGGGGGTTGTCAGGTGTGTGAGGGGGTTGTCAGGTGTGTGAGGGGGTTGTCAGGTGTGTGAGGGGGTGTCAGGTGTGAGGGGGGTTGTCAGGTGTGTGAGGGGGGTTGTCAGGTGTGTGAGGGGGTTGTCAGGTGTGTGAGGGGGGGGTTGTCAGGTGTGTGAGGGGGGGTTGTCAGGTGTGTGAGAGGGGGGTTGTCAGGTGTGTGAGGGAGTTGTCAGGTGTGTCAGGGGGGGTGTGTGAGGGGGGTTGTCAGGTGTGTGAGGGGGGGTTGTCAGGTGTGTGAGGGGGGTTGTCAGGGTGTGTGAGGGGGTTGTCAGGTGTGTGTCAGGTGTGTGAGGGGGGTTGTCAGGTGTGTGTGAGCGGGTTGTCAGGTGTGTGAGGGGGTTGTCAGGTGTGTGAGGGGGGTTGTCAGGTGTGTGAGGGGGTTGTCAGGTGTGTGAGGGGGTTGTCAGGTGTGTGAGGGGGGGTTGTCAGGTGTGTGAGGGGGGGTTGTCAGGTGTGTGAGGGGGTTGTCAGGTGTGTGAGGGGGGGTTGTCAGGTGTGTGAGGGGGGGTTGTCAGGTGTGTGAGGGGGGTTGTCAGGTGTGTGAGGGGGTTGTCAGGTGTGTGAGGGGGGTTGTCAGGTGTGTGAGGGGGGTTGTCAGGTGTGTGAGGGGGGTTGTCAGGTGTGTGAGGGGGGGTTGTCAGGTGTGTGAGGGGGGTTGTCAGGTGTGTGAGGGGGTTGTCAGGTGTGTGAGGGGGGTTGTCAGGTGTGTGAGGGGGTTGTCAGGTGTGTGGGGGGGTTGTCAGGTGTGTGAGGGGGTTGTCAGGTGTGTGAGGGGGGGTTGTCAGGTGTGTGAGGGGGGTTGTCAGGTGTGTGAGGGGGGTTGTCAGGTGTGTGAGGGGGTTGTCAGGTGTGTGAGGGGGGTTGTCAGGTGTGTGAGGGGGTTGTCAGGTGTGTGAGGGGGTTGTCAGGTGTGTGAGGGGGGGTTGTCAGGGTGTGTTGTCAGGTGTGTGGGGGGTTGTCAGGTGTGTGAGGGGGTTGTCAGGTGTGTGAGGGGGGTTGTCAGGTGTGTGAGGGGGGGTTGTCAGGTGTGTGAGGGGGGTTGTCAGGTGGTGTGAGGGGGGTTGTCAGGTGTGTGAGGGGGGATTGTCAGGTGTGTGAGGGGGGGTTGTCAGGTGTGTGAGGGGGTTGTCAGGTGTGTGTTGGGGGTTTGTCAGGTGTGTGAGAGGGGGGTTGTCAGGTGTGTGAGGGGGGGTTGTCAGGTGTGTGAGGGGGGGTTGTCAGGTGTGTGAGGGGGTTGTCAGGTGTGTGAGGGGGGTTGTCAGGTGTGTGAGGGGGTTGTCAGGGTGTTGTCAGGTGTGTGAGAGGGGGTTGTCAGGTGTGTGAGGGGGGTTGTCAGGTGTGTGAGGGGGGGGGTTGTCAGGTGTGTGAGGGGGGGGTTGTCAGGTGTGTGAGGGGGGGTTGTCAGGTGTGTGAGGGGGGTTGTCAGGTGTGTGTGGGGGGTTGTCAGGTGTGTGAGGGGGGTGTCAGGTGTGTGAGGGGGGTTGTCAGGTGTGTGAGGGGGTTGTCAGGTGTGTGAGGGGGTTGTCAGGTGTGTGAGGGGGGTTGTCAGGTGTGGGGTGAGGGGGGTGTCAGGTGGTGAGGGGGGTTGTCAGGTGTGAGGGGGGGGTTATCAGGTGTGTGAGGGGGGGTTGTCAGGTGTGTGAGGGGGGGTTGTCAGGTGTGTGAGGGGGGTTGTCAGGTGTGTGAGGGGGGTTGTCAGGTGTGTGAGGGGGTTGTCAGGTGTGTGAGGGGGGGTTGTCACGTGTGTGAGGGGGGTTGTCACGTATGTGAGGGGGTTGTCAGGTGTGTGAGGGGGTTGTCAGGTGTGTGAGGGGGGGTTGTCAGGTGTGTGAGGGGGTTGTCAGGTGTGTGAGGGGGGTTGTCAGGCGAGTGAGGGGGTTGTCAGGTGTGTGAGGGGGGTTGTCAGGTGTGTGAGGGGGGTTGTCAGATGTGTGAGGGGGGGTTGTCAGGTGTGTGAGGGGGGTTGTCAGGTGTGTGAGGGGGGGTTGTCAGGTGTGTGAGGGGGGGGGGGTTGTCAGGTGTGTGAGGGGGGGTTGTCAGGTGTGAGGGGGGGGGGGGGTTGTCAGGTGTGTGACGGGGGGGGGTTGTCAGGTGTGAGGGGGGGGGTTGTCAGGTGTGTGAGGGGGTTGTCAGGTGTGTGAGGGGGGGGGGGGTTGTCAGGTGTGTGAGGGGGGGGTTGTCAGGTGTGTGAGGGGGGGGGGTTGTCAGGTGTGTGAGGGGGGGTTGTCAGGTGTGTGAGGGGGGGTTGTCAGGTGTGTGAGGGGGGTTGTCAGGTGTGTGAGGGGGGTTGTCAGGTGTGTGAGGGGGTTGTCAGGTGTGTGAGGGGGGTTGTCAGGTGTGAGAGGGGGGTTGTCAGGTGTGAGAGGGGGGTTGTCACGTGTGTGAGGGGGGTTGTCAGGTGTGTGAGGGGGTTGTCAGGTGTGTGAGGGGGGGTTGTCAGGTGTGTGAGGGGGGGTTGTCAGGTGTGTGAGGGGGTTGGGGGTTGTCAGGTGTGTGAGGGGGTTGTCAGGTGTGTGAGGGGGGGGGTTGTCAGGTGTGTGAGGGGGGGTTGTCAGGTGTGTGAGGGGGGGTTGTCAGGTGTGTGAGGGGGGTTGTCAGGTGTGTGAGGGGGGTTGTCAGGTGTGTGAGGGGGGTTGTCAGGTGTGTGAGGGGGGGTTGTCAGGTGTGTGAGGGGGGGTTGTCAGGTGTGTGAGGGGGGTTGTCAGGTGTGTGAGGGGGGGTTGTCAGGTGTGTGAGGGGGTTGTCAGGTGTGTGAGGGGGGGTTGTCAGGTGTGTGAGGGGGGGTTGTCAGGTGTGTGAGGGGGGGTTGTCAGGTGTGAGGGGGGGGTTATCAGGTGTGTGAGGGGGGGTTGTCAGGTGTGTGAGGGGGGTTGTCAGGTGTGTGAGGGGGGTTGTCAGGTGTGTGAGGGGGGTTGTCAGGTGTGTGAGGGGGGTTGTCAGGTGTGTGAGGGGGGGTTGTCAGGTGTGTGAGGGGGGGTTGTCAGGTGTGTGAGGGGGGTTTGTCAGGTGTATGAGGGGGCAGGAGTCAGGTGTATGAGGAGCAGGAGTCAGGTGTATGAGGGGGCAGGAGTCAGGTTTATGAGGGGGCAGGAGTCAGGTGTATGAGGGGGGGGCAGGAGTCAGGTGTATGAGGGGGGGGCAGGAGTCAGGTGTATGATGGGGCGCAGGAGTCAGGTGTATGAGGAAGGGGCAGGAGTCAGGTGTATGAGGGGGCAAGAGTCAGGTGTATGAGGGGGCATGAGTCAGGTGTATGAGGGGGGCAGGAGTCAGGTGTATGAGGGGGGCAGGAGTCAGGTGTATGAGGGGGGCAGGAGTCAGGTGTATGAGGGGGGCAGGAGTTAGGTGTATGAGGGGGGCAGGAGTCAGGTGTATGAGGGGGGCAGGAGTCAGGTGTATGAGGGGGGCAGGAGTCAGGTGTATGAGGGGGGCAGGAGTCAGGTGTATGAGGGGGGCAGGAGTCAGGTGTATGAGGGGGGCAGGAGTCAGGTGTATGAGGGGGGGCAGGAATCAGGTGTATGAGGGGCAGGAGTCAGGTGTATGAGGGGGCCGCAGAGTCAGGTGTATGAGGGGGGGCAGGAGTCAGGTGTATGAGGGGGGCAGGAGTCAGGTGTATGAGGGGGGGCAGGAGTCAGGTGTATGAGGGGGGCAGGAGTCAGGTATATGGGGGGCAGGAGTCGGGTGTGTGAGGGGGGCAGGAGTTCGGTATGTGAAGGGGGGCAGGAGTCGGGTGTGTGAGGGGGGGCAGGAGTAGGGGGTGTGAGGGGGGGGCAGGAGTCGGGTGTGTGAGGGGGGCAGGAGTCGGGTGTGTGAGGGGGGGCAGGAGTCGGGTGTGTGAGGGGGGGCAGGAGTCGGGTATGTGAGGGGGGCAGGAGTCGGGTGTGTGAGGGGGGCAGGAGTCGGGTGTGTGAGGGGGGGGCAGGAGTCGGGTATGTGAGGGGGGGCAGGAGTAGGGGTGTGTGAGGGGGGCAGGAGTCGGGTGTGTGAGGGGGGGCAGGAGTCAGGTGTATGAGGGGGGGCAGGAGTCAGGTGTATGAGGGGGGGCAGGAGTCGGGTGTGTGAGGGGGGGCAGGAGTCGGGTGTGTGGGGGGGGCAGGAGTCGGGTGTGTGAGGGGGGCAGGAGTCAGGTGTATGAGGGGGGCAGGAGTCGGGTGTGTGAGGGGGGCAGGAGTCGGGTGTATGATGGGGGCAGGAGTCAGGTGTATGAGGGGGGCAGGAGTCGGGTGTGTGAGGGGGGCAGGAGTCGGGTGTATGATGGGGGCAGGAGTCAGGTGTATGAGGGGGGCAGGAGTCGGGTGTATGAGGGGGCAGGAGTCAGGTGTATGATGGGGGCAGGAGTCAGGTGTATGAGGGGGGCAGGAGTCGGGTGTGTGAGAGATTAATGATACGAAACATCACATACCTGTCAGCGTATGATTGAGACACGTCCAGTACCCGTCCTGCAACACACAAAACAACAATCACTAATCCTGGTCCACACACCCTCAACAATCCTGGTCCACACACCCTCAACAATCCTGGTCCACACACCCTCAACAATCCTGGTCCACACACCCTCAACAATCCTGGTCCACACACCCTCAACAATCCTGGTCCACACACCCTCAACAATCCTGGTCCACACACCCTCAACAATCCTGGTCCACACACCCTCAACAATCCTGGTCCACACACCCTCAACAATCCTGGTCCACACACCCTCAACAATCCTGGTCCACACACCCTCAACAATCCAAGCTTACAAGCAGATATTAATAAAGTTTATAACTGGGCATCAGAAAATAACATGTTGTTTCACAGTGATAAATTCCAGGTACTCAGGTACGGTAAAAATGAGGACCTTAAACATAATACAGAGTACAAAACACAATCAAATCTGCCCATAGTAGGAAAACAGCATGTAAAGGATTTGGGAATAATGATGTCTGACGACCTAACGTTTAGGGAGCATAACCAAGCAAATATTGCGTCAGCCAGAAAAATGATAGGATGGATTACGAGAACTTTCAAATCCAGGGATCCCATCACAATGTTTGTACTATTAAAATCACTTGTGTTGTCCCGTCTTGAGTACTGCTCAGTACTCACTTCCCCCTTCAGAGCAGGAGAGATTGCTGAAACAGAGGGAATACAGAGAACATATACGTCACGCATAGACGAGATAAAACACCTAAATTTGTAGACCAGATCACACACTAGAAGGTGAAGGGACGACGACGTTTCGGTCCGTCCTGGACCATTCTCAAGTCGATTGTTGAACAACCGCGGACCTCTGATGTTTATACAGTGTTCTCTGATTGTGCCTATGGCACCTCTGCTCTTCACTGGTTCTATTCTGCATTTTCTTCCATATCGTTCACTCCAGTATGTTGTTATTGTACTGTGTAGATTTGGTACTTGGCCCTCCAGTATCTTCCACGTGTATATTATTTGATATCTCGACTTGAGAATTGTCCAGGACGGACCGAAACGTCGTCGTCCCTTCACCTTCTAGTGTGTGATCTGGTGTACATACTTTAGCCACGTTATTGTGACTCATCGCATCCAAGCACCTAAATTATTGGGATCGTCTCAAAGCCCTTCAAATGTACTCACTAGAAAGAAGACGAGAGAGATATCAAATAATATACACGTGGAAGATACTGGAGGGCCAAGTACCAAATCTACACAGTAAAATAACAACGTACTGGAGTGAACGATATGGAAGAAATATGCAGAATAGAACCAGTTAAGAGCAGAGGTGCCATAGGCACAATCAGAGAACACTGTATAAACATCAGAGGTCCGCGGTTGTTCAACGTCCTCCCAGCAAGCATAAGAAATATTGCCGGAATAACCGTGGACATCTTCAAGAGAAAACTAGACTGTTTTCTAAAAGAAGTTCCGGACTAACCGGGCTGTGGTGGGCATGTGGGCCTGCGGGCCGCTCCAAGCAACAGCCTGGTGAACCAAACTCTCACAAGTCAAGCCTGGCCTCGGGCTGGGCTTGGGGAGTAGAAGAACTCCCAGAACCCCATCAAGAAGGAATCAAGCTGGGGTCGAGAGTTCGAGTCTCTTTGGGACCCAATTGAATGTCTATTTCCACGATACTGTGGTTGACACTTTATACTTCGTAGTTATCTGGATCGTACAGCTCCTCCTCCTCCTCCCTCCAGTGATACTGGTGTCTACTCTAGTTCTTGTTCGTCTTGTCCTCTCCAATACTTTGAGGAGACTGATCCTACACTCAATGACAGACTTAAGCAACACGAAATAAGTGTCCATTCTGCAGGCACGAACACAAGGGCAAACCAACCCAGCCCCAACATGAAGGGACACCTAGCCAGCCCCAACACGAGGAAACACCTAGCCAGCCCCAACACGAGGAAACACCTAGCCAGCCCCAACACGAGGAAACACCTAGCCAGCCCCAACACGAGGGAACACCTAGCCAGCCCCAACACGAGGGAACACCTAGCCAGCCCCAACACGAGGGAACACCTAGCCAGCCCCAACACAAGGGGACATCTAGCCAGCCCCAACACAAGGGGGCATCTAGCCAGCCCCAACACGAGGGAACACCTAGCCAGCCGCCCCAACACAAGGGGACACCCAGCCAGCCCCAACACAAGGGGACACCTAGCAGCCCCAACACAAGGGGCCACCTAGCCAGCCCCAATACGAGGGCACACCTAACCAGCCCCAACACAAGGGGACACCTAGCAGCCCCAACACAAGGGGACACCTAGCAGCCCCAACACAAGGGGACACCTAGCCAGCCCCAACACAAGGGGACACCTAGCAGCCCCAACACAAGGGGACACCTAGCCAGCCCCAACACGAGGGCACACCTAACCAGCCCCAACATGAGGGGACACCTAACCAGCCCCAACATGAGGGGACACCTAGCAGCCCCATCATAAGGGCACACCTAACCAGCCCCAACATGAGGGACACCTAGCCAGCCCCGACACGAGGGGACACCTAACCAGCCCCAACATGAGGGGACACCTAGCCAGCTCCAACACGAGGGCACACCTAACCAGCCCCAACATGAGGGGACACCTAACCAGCCCCAACACAAGGGGATACCTAGCAGCCCCAACACAAGGGGACACCTAGCCAGCCCCAACACAAGGGGACACCTAGCCAGCCCCGACATGAGGGGACACCTAACCAGCCCCAACATGAGGGGACACCTAGGCAGCCCCAACACGAGGGCACACCTAACCAGCCCCAACATGAGAGGACACCTAGCCAGCCCCAACACAAGGGGACACCTAGCAGCCCCAACACAAGGGGACGCCTAGCCAGCCCCAACACAAGGGAACACCTAGCCAGCCCCAACACAAGGGGACACCTAGCCAGCCCCAACACAAGGGGACACCTAGCCAGCCCCAACACAAGGGGACACCTAGCCAGCCCCAACACAAGGGGACACCTAACCAGCCCCAACATGAGGGGACACCTAGCCAGCCCCAACACGAGGGCACACCTAACCAGCCCCAACATGAGGGGACACCTAACCAGCCCCAACATGAGGGAATATCTAGCCAGCCCCAACATGAGGGGACACCTAGCCAGCCCCAACACGAGGGCACACCTAACCAGCCCCAACATGAGGGAACACCTAGCAGCCCCAACACAAGGGGCCCACCTAGCAGCCCTAACACAAGGGGACACCTAGCCAGCCCCAACACAAGGGGACACCTAGCAGCAGCAACAAAAGGGAACACCCAGCCAGCCCCAACACAAGGGGACACCTAGCCAGCCCCAACACAACGGAACACCTAGCCAGCCCCAACACAAGGGGACACCTAGCCAGCCCGAACATGAGGGAAAACCTAGCCAGCCCCAACATGAGGGAACACCTAGCCAGCCCCAACATGAGGGAACACCTAGCCAGCCCCTACATTAGGAAACACCTAGCCAGCCCCAACATGAAGGGACACCTAGCCAGCCCCAACATCAGGGAACACCTAGCCAGCTCGAACACAAGGGGACACCTAGCCAGCCCCAACATGAGGGAACACCTAGCCAGCCCCAACACAAGGGGACACCTAGCCAGCCCCAACACAAGGGGACACCTAGCCAGCCCCAACACAAGGGGGCACCCAGCCAGCCCCAACACAAGGGGACACCTAGCCAGCCCCAACACAAGGGGACACCTAGCAGCCCCACACAAGGGTACACCTAGCAGCCCCAACACAAGGGGACACCTAGCCAGCCCCAACATGAGGGAACACCTAGCCAGCCCCAACACAAGGGGACACCTAGCCAGCCCCAACACAAGGGGACACCTAGCCAGCCCCAACACAAGGGGGCACCCAGCCAGCCCCAACACAAGGGGACACCTAGCCAGCCCCAACACAAGGGGACACCTAGCCAGCCCCAACACAAGGGGACACCTAGCCAGCCCCAACACAAGGGTACACCTAGCAGCTAGGATACTCACCAGGTGAGGAGGGCAGGCAGCTGTGAGGCGGGCCAGGTGGGCCTCGCTGTCCTCCGCGGCCAGACGCCACAGCGGCACCTGCAACACAAGGCAACGATCAGTGTCACACACACACATACGTGAGACAATGTTTTGGAGGCTGGGTAGGTCCCGAGGGTGGCAGCGAGGCCTCCCCGGTCCTCGGCCTATACCAGACACCTGTCTCAGGAGTAAACACTATAATGTTATTGGAGACGTAACTACCCCCTCCCCCCCTACACATACACATACACACACACACACACACACACACACACACACACACACACACACACACACACACACACACACACACACACACACACACTGGAATCTGGAAGAAAATATGACGGTCGATGCAATTGAAAAACCTGACTTTACGAGAGGACATTATGGCAACCTTAGAAAATTTTTTAGTGAGTATAATTGGACAGACCTGTTGCTAGGCAAGGAAGTGAATGAGATGTATGTCAAGTTTTGTGAAATATATGATAAAGGCACAAAAAAAATTATACCAAAACAGAGAAGCAGAACTAGGAAACAGGATTGGTTCAACAGAAAGTGCGAGAGGGCTAGAGACCAAAAGACACAAAAATGGAATCAATACAGGAAGAGGCCGAACCCCCAAACATACCAGCGATACAAAGATGCGAGAAACAACTACACGGCAGTGAGGAGAGAGGCAGAAAGAAATTTTGAAAAAGGGATTGAAGACAAATGTAAAACAGAACCAGGTATATTCTATAAATTCATAAACAACAAATTGCAGGTAAAGGATAATATTCAGAGGTTGAAAATGGGAAATAGATTCACGGAACATGAATAGGAAATGTGTGAAACACTAAACGAAAAGTTCCAAAGTGTGTTTGTACAAAATGAAATCTTCAGGGAACCAGATACAATAAGAATTCTGATAAAGAAAGAGATCTACGGGTGGTTCTAGATAGAAAACTATCACCTGAGGACCACATAAAGAATATTGTGCGAGGAGCCTATGCCACGCTTTCTAACTTCAGAATTGCTTTTAAATACATGGAGGCGAAATACTAAAGAAATTGTTCACGACTTTTGTTAGGCCAAAGCTAGAATATGCAGCAGTTGTGTGGTGCCCATATCTTAAGAAGCACATCAACAAACTGGAAAAGGTGCAAAGACATGCTACTAAGTGGCTCCCAGAACTGAAGGGCAAGAGCTACGAGGAGAGGTTAGAGGCATTAAATATGCCAAAACTAGAAGACAGAAGAAAAAGAGGTGATATGATCACTACATACAAAATAGTAACAGGAATTGATAAAATCGATAAGGAAGATTTCTTGAGACCTGGAACGTTAAGAACAAGAGGTCATAGATATAAACTAGCTAAACACAGATGCCGAAGAAATAAGAAAATTAACTTTCGCAAACAGAGTGGTAGACGGTTGGAACAAGTTAGGGGAGAAGGTGGTGGAGGCCAAGACCGTCAGTAGTTTCAAAGCGTTATATGACAAAGAGTGCTGGGAAGACGGGACACCACAAGCGTAGCTCTCATCCTGTAACTACACTTAGGTAATTACATTTAGGTAATTACACACACACCTGTCCTCCAGACAGACACACACCTCTCCTCCAGACACACACGTCTCCTCCACACACACACACACACACACCTCTCCTCCACACACACACCTGTCCTCCACACACACACACACACACCTGTCCCCCTCACACACACCTCTCCCCCCCCCACACACACCTGTCTCAAGGCACACCATAACATGCAACACTCGACACATTACAATATACTAATAATTGAAAGCAGAGTCATAAAATCTCTGACAGTGCTTCAACTGTTGGTATAGTGATTGTATATTATATTACAGCAATTGTAGGCAGAGTGATTGTGTATTGTGGGGAAGACAACATTGGAGGGAGCAGCGTCAGCAGGTGTGGGGAGGGTGTAGGGTGGTGACGTCAGTAGGTGTGGGGAGGGTGTAGGGTTGTGACGTCAGCAGGTGTGGGGAGGGTGTAGGGTTGTGACGTCAGCAGGTGTGGGGAGGGTGTAGGGTTGTGACGTCAGCAGGTGTGGGGAGGGTGTAGGGTTGTGACATCAGCAGGTGTGGGTGTGGGGAGGGTGTAGGGTGGTGACGTCAGCAGGTGTGGGTGTGGGGAGGGTGTAGGGTGGTGACGTCGGCAGGTGTGGGGAGGGTATAGGGTAGTGACGTCAGCAGGTGTGGGTGTGGGGAGGGTGTAGGGTGGTGACGTCAGCAGGTGTGGGTGTGTGGAGGGTGTAGGGTGGTGACGTCAGCAGGTGTGGGTGTGGGGAGGGTGTAGGGTGGTGACGTCAGCAGGTGTGGGGAGGGTGTAGGGTGGTGACGTCGGCAGGTGTGGGGAGGGTATAGGGTAGTGACGTCAGCAGGTGTGGGGAGGGTGTAGGGTGGTGACGTCGGCAGGTGTGGGGAGGGTGTTCAGCAGCTAGACACCGGGTCATCCCTGACATACTGAACACAACAGACACCACCACATTATAAGGGAGGACATAAGTATAAGAATACGAAAATACGACAAAAGAATTTTGGGTTATCTTGGTTATCTTGAGATGATTTCGGGGCTTTAGTGTCCCCGCGGCCCGGTCCTCGACCAGGCCTCCACCCCCAGGAAGCAGCCCGTGTCTTTTGTCCGAGACAAAAAATTACAGACCGACAGCACCGAGGGAGACCTTCCCTTCTGTGAGAGGTCAGCCCTATAGGACCTTCCCTTCTGTGAGAGTTCAGCCATATGGGACCTTCCCTTCTGTGAGAGGTCAGCCATATGGGACCTTCCCTTCTGTGAGAGGTCAGCCATATGGGACCTTCCCTTCTGTGAGAGGTCAGCCATATGGGACCTTCCCTTCTGTGAGAGGTCAGCCCTATGGGACCTTCCCTTCTGTGAGAGGTTAGCCCTATGGGACCTTCCCTTCTGTGAGAGGTCAGCCATATGGGACCTTCCCTTCTGTGAGAGGTCAGCCCTATGGGACCTTCCCTTCTGTGAGAGGTCAGCCATATGGGACCTTCCCTTCTGTGAGAGGTCAGCCATATGGGACCTTCCCTTCTGTGAGAGGTCAGCCCTATGGGACCTTCCCTTCTGTGAGAGGTCAGCCCTATGGGACCTTCCCTTCTGTGAGAGGTCAGCCATATGGGACCTTCCCTTCTGTGAGAGGTCAGCCATATGGGACCTTCCCTTCTGTGAGAGGTCAGCCATATGGGACCTTACCTTCTGTGAGAGGTCAGCCCTATGGGACCTTCCCTTCTGTGAGAGGTCAGCCATATGGGACCTTCCCTTCTGTGAGAGGTCAGCCATATGGGACCTTCCCTTCTGTGAGAGGTCAGCCCTATGGGACCTTCCCTTCTGTGAGAGGTCAGCCCTATGGGACCTTCCCTTCTGTGAGAGGTCAGCCCTATGGGACCTTCCCTTCTGTGAGAGGTCAGCCATATGGGACCTTACCTTCCGTGAGAGGTCAGCCCTATGGGAACTTCCCTTCTGTGAGAGGTCAGCCATATGGGACCTTCCCTTCTGTGAGAGGTCAGCCCTATGGGACCTTCCCTTCTGTGAGAGGTCAGCCATATGGGACCTTCCCTTCTGTGAGAGGTCAGCCCTATGGGACCTTACCTTCTGTGAGAGGTCAGCCCTATGGGACCTTTCCTTCTGTGAGAGGTCAGCCCTATGGGACCTTCCCTTCTGTGAGAGGTCAGCCCTATGGGACCTTCCCTTCTGTGAGAGGTCAGCCATATGGGACCTTCCCTTCTGTGAGAGGTCAGCCATATGGGACCTTCCCTTCTGTGAGAGGTCATCCCTGTGGGAACTTCCCTTCTGTGAGAGGTCAGCCCTATGGGACCTTCCCTTCTGTGAGAGGTTAGCCCTATGGGACCTTCCCTTCTGTGAGAGGTCAGCCCTATGGGACCTTCCCTTCTGTGAGAGGTCATCCCTGTGGGAACTTCCCTTCTGTGAGAGGTCAGCCCTATGGGACCTTCCCTTCTGTGAGAGGTCATCCCTGTGGGAACTTCCCTTCTGTGAGAGGTCAGCCCTATGGGACCTTCCCTTCTGTGAGAGGTCATCCCTGTGGGACCTTCCCTTCTGTGAGAGGTCAGCCCTGTGGGACCTTCCCTTCTGTGAGAGGTCATCCCTGTGGGACCTTCCCTTCTGTGAGAGGCCAGCCCTATGGGACCTTCCCTTCTGTGAGAGGTCAGCCCTATGGGACCTTCCCTTCTGTGAGAGGTCATCCCTGTGGGACCTTCCCTTCTGTGAGAGGTCAGCCCTGTGGGACCTTCCCTTCTGTGAGAGGTCATCCCTGTGGGAACTTCCCTTCTGTGAGAGGTCAGCCCTATGGGACCTTCCCTTCTGTGAGAGGTTAGCCCTATGGGACCTTCCCTTCTGTGAGAGGTTAGCCCTATGGGACCTTCCCTTCTGTGACAGGTCATCCCTGTGGGACCTTCCCTTCTGTGAGAGGTCAGCCCTATGGGACCTTCCCTTCTGTGAGAGGTTAGCCCTATGGGACCTTCCCTTCTGTGAGAGGTCAGCTCTATGGGACCTTCCCTTCTGTGAGAGGTTAGCCCTATGGGACCTTTCCTTCTGTGAGAGGTCAGCTCTATGGGACCTTCCCTTCTGTGATAGGTCAGCTCTATGGGACCTTCCCTTCTGTGAGAGGTCAGCTCTATGGGACCTTCCCTTCTGTGAGCGGTCAGCCCTATGGGACCTTCCCTTCTGTGAGAGGTCAGCTCTATGGGACCTTCCCTTCTGTGATAGGTCAGCTCTATGGGACCTTCCCTTCTGTGAGAGGTCAGCCCTATGGGTCCTTCCCTTCTGTGAGAGGTCAGCCCTATGGGACCTTCCCTTCTGTGAGAGGTCAGCCCTATGGGACCTTCCCTTCTGTGATAGGTCAGCTCTATGGGACCTTCCCTTCTGTGAGGTTAGCCCTATGGGACCTTCCCTTCTGTGAGAGGTCATCCCAGTGGGACCTTCCCTTCTGTGAGAGGTCAGCCCTGTGAGACCTTCCCTTCTGTTACAGGTCAGCCCTGTGGGACCTTCCCTTCTGTGAGAGGTCAGTC